TTCATAGTTGTTCATCATTTTATTCATATACATACATAAAATTACGATATATAATATGTCGATATGTATATTTAGGTATTTAGTTTTAGTTTTTGTTTATACATAATTAATATTTTAGCAAATATACATAAGTAAGTATTAAAAAAAAAACAAAATAAACAATAGGCACGTAGCTGGTGAATACATTTTCTTTTACTTTTGTTTTAATTGTTTAACATTTCATTAGGCGGTGAACGCTTCACTCACAATCAGCAAGAAATTTTATGTAAATTTTAAAATTTGTAAAACTAGATTTATACATTTTTTGTTTAAAAGCATATGGATAGTACATAATAGTAAATGTTTATGTAAATATTTTTTATAGGTATGTATGTAGGTATATGTAGGTTTTTTTTTAATGCAATAATCCCGCAACTATGCAAAAATATGTTTTCATGTATTTATATGCTGTGTAAGTAAGTATGTAGACTTGCATGTATTTGTTAAGACGTTTTTAGGTGTATGCATGAGCTTAAGCAAAAACGTACCACATACAAAATATATTCTAAATTTAAAAAAACTACAAAATAGGTTAATTATTTTCTTTACATTTATGTAACTAATTGTAATATAAAAAAATTTAAATTTTTTTTTATGAATTCTTACACAAATTGTAACAAAATCGCTCAAAAATTGCATGCTTATCTGCTTTTGTTAGTATATATTAAAATTATACATAGATTTCGTTGAAAATTACATGCATGTATGTATGTGCATATAAACGTAGTATGTAATAGTATATTTTACAAAAGAAAAAATTACGAAAGAGAAAAAGCACAAAATTAGTATGTATTTCTGATTTTTAAATTATACAAGCAAATTAAAAGAAAAAAAAAAACGTTTTAAATAAAATATGAAAATCTTTTAAAATTAAAGTAAATTCTTTGCAAAGCGCATGCGTGCGCTCTAAAATATACATACATACATACATATTTATGTGGTAAATTAATTAGAAATTACATACAGCTGTAAAGTACTAATGTAAATGTGTATATGCAAATATATGTAAATATGTATTTAAAAGTAAATAGATATAGTAAAAAATAGATATTTTAGAAGTTAGTAATTTTCCTTCTTTGTAAAAGTAACAGCCAAATATTGTTGCAATCTTTTTTACAGTGCTTCATTTTGACCGCTAAGTTTAAAATTTTTTGTTCTTATAGATTTTTTCTGCATTTCATTTGAAACCCACTTAT